TAAGATATACCTTTTTAGAGAACAAAAATTGACACCAGGTGGTGAAGCTGTTTTTATGAAAGCAGTTGAAGTTTTATACCCCTGCCCTACCAGAGCTCAAGGGAAGAGTTTATAGAAATCCATTCAGTAATACTCCACATGCCTTATAAATTATTCTGAAAAACCTTCTTAAAGAAATATTTCCCCCCAGAACCCTAAAATGGAAATAAGATAAAACCCAGGCTAATGTGTTTACTGTCTTTTTTACCCTTTTATTCCTAGAGGAATTTTGAAGCACTTTGCGAAATTGAGCTCACACATAAAATGTGTAGAGGTCAAATGTTATTACCACCTAAAGGGATGCCCAGAATGCTTTGCCATTGAATGTACTGGAGTCTGTTTTGTGTAGCAGTTAAGAACACAGTCTTTGGGCACTGACTGGCTGGGTTTGACTCCCAGATATGTTCTCCGCTTATTATGTGACTTGTGCAAATTGTTTAACCAGCCAGTGGCTCTGTGGATTCCTGTGTTCAAGGATATTACTCATCTCCTATGGTTGTTCGGGGGGCTGAAAGGGTTAATATTTGTATGTGGCTTGACTTGGTGCCTGAAACAAAGCGTTGTATAGTTTTTCTTTTTATTACCAAGTCCAAGCTTTAAAACCTCTTGGTAATGATGCATCAATTCAGATCTAATTTGTATTGTATGATAACAAAAATAGGATGCTAGCAATTTTTTATTTTAAACATTCACAAAACAAATTAAGCTGTTAAATGAAACTTAATGGAAAAGCATGACTTATTTCAGAGAAAACTTTTAAAGTACTTTGACAGCCCCAATGGTGTGTTTATTAATCACACATAATCCCAGTGGAGTTAGTTGTCTGCTCCTGATTAGACTCTCATAAATACATGAGAGAAATATTTAACAGTCACAGAGAAAAGATAATTCTTAAAGTATGGTGTTCACCAATAGCTACGAAAATAAAATATTTAAAATTACATTAGAATTTGGAAGTAAAGTACTTCTCAAACACTTCTTTTTACTATTTGATTGAAATTTTGATTCATCTTTTTGGGTTTGCAATATGAAATTTAAGTTTCTTTTCTAGAAACAGGAGTAATACTGTCAGGAAGGATGTAGATTTTATCTTTAATTAACCAATTATTAGAATTTAGTATTGAAGTTCATATGCAGAAAATAGCTAATTAAATATTGACACATTTAATGAGCAACAGATTATTCAGTGCTTGTGTGAATTAATGCAGTTTTAGATATATCTTAAATTGTTTATTTTGCATTTAAGTAGGCAGTGTTAAATGTATAAACCATGAAGAACAATAGCTAATATTTTTCTTTTCTCTTGTGGCCTTTCTGAGGCAGGATTGACAAAAATCATGTATATTTAAGATATATAATTCAGTGATTTAATATACATATATGTACATAGTGAAATTATTATCACAATAAAGATAATTAACATTTCTGTTACCTCACAGTTACTCTGGTAACTACTACTATATTCTGTTTATATGAAATCAAATGATTTCATCACACACATGCACACACACACAAGGCAAGAATACTGCGAAGATGTTGGTTAAAATAACCTAAATTCCAAACTGTGTTTTAAAATACATGGTGAGCTTAAAATACAATGGTAAGACTCCTATAGACTCTCATTTTTTTCTTTAATAATAGGTTTATTTTGTCATGTAAAAAACCTGATCTTTGCTGTTGAAAAAAGTAAAAATTAAAGGTGAAGTTTTTCAGTTGTTTTATTCTGTATTTACAAAATGTAAATTTGTGTATGTATTTTTTGGTGAAAAATTTATTCATTCACAAAATAGTGAGCACATTTTATACACTCGTCACTGGTTTTACAGTAGTAAAACAGAAATGGTTTCTGTACTTAGGGATCTCAAATGTAGTGTGAGATAATAATGAAGCAAAACAAACATATAATTAAAGTTTTTATTAAGAGTCATTAAGTACAGGAATGTAGCAAGAGAACCGGAGCCTGAAAAACCTGTGTGATGATCTGAGGTGACTTTTAAACAAAGAGCTCAAGGATAAGGAGGAACCAGCATGACAGGAGGTGGATGGAGCTTTCCAGGCAGAGAACATGTTTCTGGGAGGGCGGTGAGGCCAGGAAAGGGCTAGAGGCAGAGGCAGGAAGTATAGTCCAGAGAGTGAGGCCCACTGACTCCAGTGCTCACAGCATGAGTGAATCCCAAGACACAACATTTTGATGGTAGGATTGCAAAATCAATCTCCGGACTAGCTGGATGTTCTTTCAGCTTCTAACTATGTCCTTCTAATTCCATTTCTTTGTTTTATTTATCTGTCCCTCCATAGACAGCTAGATTTGTTTTATTTGTCTTTCCATAGATAACTAGTATGACATAATAATTTGTAAAAATATTGAGTTACACGTGGATGAACACATCAAATAGTTACCTCGGAGTTAATTAAAATGATTGGGAGAATATTTTAAGGTTGACACTCTCATAGGCTGAAGTTTTCTTTGGCTTTTCCCAAAGAACCAATAGTATTAGCATGTTTCCTTTATGGTACAGTGCCTGAGAGGAAAGATGATCTACTCATAGTAGCATCTTTCATCCCTGGGCCTAAAAATTACTGAACTATTTGCCTTTCTTCTTATTCTCCTCATTGTTCTATGGATACAAATCTTGGCCTCCTGGATAAGAAGGTTCAGATGTCAAACTATGTAGTTGGTGATAGAATTAAAGAAAGCTTTATTAGTGCAAATGGCTGCAATTAAAAGATCCTAAGCAAGACTTGTTAAGGTGCTCTCTAAACTTTTTTTCACTTGTTTCTCTAGCATTGAATTTAACCATGAGTTCTTAGGGGTTTTCCTGCCTTTCCCTAACCTTTGTTTGAAAAGATGCTGATTATACATGAGTGATTAGGTTTCATTTTTCTGTCATCATGTCCATGTTTATAAAAGGACTGTGCTAAATCATGATATTTATTCATTCAGCAAACTTTCTTAGTGCCATATTTGTCTGTTATTTGTGGATTGTCAAGAAGGAAATATCTTTGGACTGTTCATGTAAATCGTAAGTGTGAGTGGGGAAGACTGCCATGAAGTAAGTGAACAAATATAAATAGAGATTGTGTTAGGGGCCCTGAGGAACGTAGAGAGTGCTCTGAGAGGATACCTTTGTGACTTTTGTGGGTTGAGCCACCAAGGAAGGAATGTCTATATTGATGATTTAGGTATAATACTAAAAGATAAAAAGTTAACAAAGGGAAGTAGAGATAAATAAAGACCCTAAGGACTGTATCTCTTACATAGATGTTGATTAGTTTTATTTTAAAATGCAAGAGTTTATATGCTGCTGAGCTCTACCTGACCACCATTTTTAGTGTCAGTCGGGGGCACAAAACAAAAGCTTGATTCACCAATCCCATACTGTTAGGCTTGTGTAGGAAGGTGTGTATTTGCCTGCTTTTTAAGTGTGATAGCAATAAACATGAAGTGGGTGCAAAGTGATATGTAATTGTTATACATTTGTTTAATGTTTCTTTACCTTTCAATTTTTAATGCTGGGAATTTTAAGAATTGCCGAATTATTCGAAAAAGTGAAAATCAAGACATCTGTAATATTGTTGGATGTTGAAGACCAAGAGAAGTTAAACAGGAGCAGGAAAATGAAAGAATAAGGAGAAAAGAGGGCTGGGTAGTCAGCCTGGTTGTATTTTTTTTTTTTTTGGTTTTTCTCCGGTACCGGGAACCGAACTCATGACCTTGCGCTTGCCAGGCAGGCACTTTTGCCGCTGAGCTAAATCCCCAGCCCTGCCTGGTTGTATGAAAAGGTCTTTACGTGTTCATACTACTTCAGAATTAATTCGTTGCTTACGTATGAAACTCTTGTCTGCACTGATGAACTTCAAAAGTTTTCTCCATTGGATCACTTTCAGTCTCCTTTGACTTTAAGCAGCGTGCATGAACGTACCAACGGGGGAGCCTCGCTTTATTTCACAGACATCACAGATGTGCAGCTGAGGAAGTAGCTTTCCAAATGCCTGAAGTTCTTTTGCTATCTTTAAATCTTTTGAAAGCCACAGGAAGTTCTATCAGCTCTTTGTCTGAAACATGTTAGAAAAGTGCAAAAGGAAAAGGAAGACATGGTTGATGTTTACCTACTTATGTAGAAATGACTTTTTTTTAAACACAGGAAGTTCGTTTCCATATATATCTGTGTTAAAAGATGAAGTACCTAGATGGCATGAGTCCAAGCTGCAAGCTGGGTTGAGAACAAGATTTTCAAAGTCGGTCCATTGTATGAGTTCAGGAAAGAGGAATAAAAGCAAAGCATAGAATGTCAGAAAAATCGACTTCTCCTTTTTTACTTAAGCCTAAAAAGCAAACAGGATTATATTATTTTGCTTTTGTTTTTCATATGCCAGTAACCATTTTTGTTTTACTTTCATGTGATCCTCTTTCAAAAAATATGAATGTTTCACTGAACTTTGTGTAATTGTAAATGGTTCTCTGTTTTGACATGGCTTTTCTAGGTTATTCAATCAAAATTTAATAATTTACCTGTGTAAATCCAATTAAGAAAGCTTGGTTAGTTTTGCAAAAATATTACTCATGCACCAAAGGAAAAGTCAAGGTAAAGTAAAGTAGGTGTATAAGCTTAATGAGGGGTGAAAGCTTTATTTACTTTCTTCATTTAAGAATTATCTCCACTAATGGAAATGTGTTCAATGATAGTGTGTGACCACGTTTTGTTGCATACTGAACCTTAGAAATGTGTGATGATGCTGTTAACAATATCAATTTTAAAAATACCTACATCAAAGAAATAGTCATTATTTATACCATTTTCCTATGTAGCATTGCCAAAATCTGTATATAGTCCTATCCTGTTGTTGTCTACGCTGCTTAAAAGCAAATGAAAATACACAATATGGTAACATTATAAATGCATTTTAAATACAAGTGTGTAGTATTTGAAAATAAAATAGCAATTTTATATGTTTTACAGAAAACGTATGTTTCAGAAGAGATGGGTGAAATTCGATGGCCTTAGCATTTCTTACTACAATAATGAAAAGGTAAGTATATTTTACATTTGTCAAACATTGCTTTATACATATTACGTGTACTTCAGTAAACTAAGCAAGTAGGTACAGTTTTTAAGGGTAGGAGATGGATTATCAACATGAAAATAATTGGAGTATGATAAAATACACTTAGATTTGTCTTAGTTTTACTTCTTGATAATGTACAAATTGAGACCTTTTTTAAACTTATATATCTGACAATTATTTCTGGAGTATCTTCGGTAAACCATAGAAAATGCTATGAATGATACAAAGATGAATACGAAATTCACTTTATTGTACAGAACACAAAACAGTGTTGACAAAACCCACTCTAAATAGAAAATGGCAAAGCAAGGGATGGGGTAGGGGGTTGCTTCATTCTCAGAGGTGGGAAGGTTTTGTATGAGATCTCATTTGTCGTGAGTATTGAGGAAAGTGGGAGTGTTTGTACACACAGAAACTAGAGAGAACAGGCCTTGCTAAAGCAGAGAGAACGGTGAGAAGGTCACATGGGAAATTGTGAGCCGTAGCATTGAGCGCAGTTTTTTTGTTTGTTTGTTTGTTTTTTTCATGAGTGGAGAACAGAGCATATGAAGGAGACTTCCGGGAGATGAAGCTGAGAAAGTTTAGGTTTACAGCTCATTGGAAATCTTGACTCTTAGATAGCAGTGGTTATTGTGTACTGTTTTGAACAGAGCAATTTGGTTCTGTTAATGTCTAAACATGCACTTTTGAGGAGCACATATTCGGGCATTTGGGAGGCAGCATGCAGTTACCTGTTTCCCTGGCTGTCTTGCACTGTCCTCATAGTTGCCCAATCATGTCTCCACCAGGACTTCACTTCATGACAGAAAATGGCATCATCGCCACTGCCTTGCTGCCTCGTGCCCTGCTAGGAAATCTAACTCACTGCCTCACTCACTCAGCTTGGGCAGAATTGCCCTGTGGTCGTTTCATTGTCTGAACGTGGTCGATACATGATAAATTTGACCTAGATAACTGTGTTACAGGCTCAAGGGATGCTTTAACATTTCTTTCCTTAAGGAAGATTTTACACTGAAAAGCACAGGCATTGTGAGCCTGTTGTCATTCGAGTACTTTTTTCTTATGTTGTCTTTATCATGTCTTGTTATAAGAGAAATATAAAATCAACTCCGCAGTGCTAAAAATTACAAGATTCACCTTGGGATCTTATGAGAGATTATAAATGAGTTGTTAGAGAAACTACAACTTCCTGAGGTTAAATTGACATAGTGTTTAGCTTGTTAAGTATATTTTAATCAGTTCTAGGGAATTCTTTTTTCGTTATTGTTCTTACAAGTATTTACCTGCTAAACATAAACATTGTTGCAGGCCTGTAGGTTATTTTTAAGGAATTGCTTTTAATACACTTAAAGAGATCTGGTACAAAGAGAATCTCTATTTCTGTTTCTTCTTCTCAAGTGCTGCTTGTGTTTCATTTACTGAAAAATGGGTCAAAGGTAAAAATTGAACAAATCATTAATTATCTCATTAGGGATTTTGTTAAATAAACCTAATTCTTAGGCAAGCTGAAGTTTGAGGACAGTTTACTTGGAAGATAAACTCTAAATATTATAGACATTTGAAATTCACCATTGGTCGTTGCCAGCCGCTACAGGCTTAGAGTAGCCCTAAAACTGTCCCCAAGGAGACCCTGTCTCTTCCCTACCCCTTCAGTTCTTTGACCGTGGGTGTCATTCTTTCTCTGTCACCAATTTCTAGAGCATTTAGTGGCCTAGTTTTGGCCTTTTCCTGCCACTTTAACCTACTTGTGTTTTCAAGGTTTCCAACTGGTCATATATTTCTTTATAATAATCTTGCTCAATAAAACTTGAGCATATACAGTGGAAGATTTGGGCCTGATTGTACCCTTGATGGTTCCCCTCTTTTATGTTCCTTTTCTTCTTTCATCTGAACCTTGTCCACCATCACCATCCTCCAAAAATCCTATGCAAACTTCGGGTTCCATCCTGTCCCCCTCGTGAGCCTTTTCTTTATCTTCTCCAGCTGCCTGTCATCTGAACAGTGCTGTGCAGGGGAGTATAGAAGGAAAACAGGCTGGAAGTATGCAAGCAAATCAGGAGAGTGCTGTAGCGAGCCAGGCATTAACTTATCAGACTGCAGACTGATGCTGGTTTCTGAAGAAATGATAAAAAATGCATTTTAAAAATATTGAAAATGAGCCATCAGAGTTCGGTGTAATTGTGTGATTGATTAAACCTAGGGTTCAGTCATCCAAAAAAGATATATTTAGCACTGACTATAAGAAAGGAAGGTGAGGAAAACAGACAAATGACCTAAGTGTATTTGAGAAGACTGTATCCATCCATCACATTTGTCTATACTAAATCACCATTTAAATTACAAAGAGGGATTACTATAGAGTAAAAGTAGAGGCTGCCATCAGATTAAATTATGATTATCTGCCCAGGTGAGGATGAGGGGCCTGAGAGAAAAGGCTAGTCAGAAAGACATTCTTCAGAAAGGTACATTTAAGCTAAAATATGATGGGGTAACTGTAGGGGTGGTGGTGAAGAATATTCCTTTTGAAATAAGTAGTGTATGCAAAGATGCTGGTTTGGGCAAAGACACGTTCAGAAACGTGGTATGTCCAGGGAACCTCAAGAAGACCAGGCAGGACCTGAGCTGTCAAATGATGGAGAAGCATTTGATGCTATTGATGTAGAGAGATCCAGGTAATGTGGGTGCAGAAGATGAGCCCATGCAGAAACCTATTCCATCTTATCTCAGACGGACAGGAAGGTGTTATGTAATGGGTAGATATAGAGGGAGGGTAAGTTTTCAGATGATGGTGATTTTAGTTTTCAGGTTTAAACTACATATGAGACAGTTACATGTATTATTGACTCAAAATATGAGAGTGAAGTTGAGTGGAATGTATGCACAAGTAAGCAGGAGAGAGCAAGGGAGGGCGAAGGAGAGAGAGTGTTTAGATTTCTTCCCCTAAGGCTGGTAGTTGCATTTGTGAGAAGTGATTTTCATCTTGGCTAGAGATGACTAAAAAAAGATCGGGGATCAATTATTTTCTAAGTGCTTATTTCATAATGGCCTTCTCCTTGGCCCGTTTGAGGTAGTTCATTCATCTTCGTGAATTGCAGTCTCAGTGTCACGTTCAGATTCAACTGCATGGGAGGACATAAGAAAGAAAGCCTACATAGCTTTGACATTTAAGGTTATTTTAAGAAATAGGGATTTTGATGGACACATAAAGTCAGAGATGGGAGATTGGAGCACAGCCTGTGAAGGAACTGTTAAACTGTTAAGAAGAGCACCACGGCATATAGCGTATCTCCTCCCCTAGCAGAAGAGGAATAGCCTTCTGGGAGAGTGTTATGTTGGCCACAGACATGCCTTATCTATCTGCTGTCACAGGAGTTCATAGCTAGAATATGGACTTGAACATTGTTTTTACTCTCTGCATGGAATGGTGCCATACATTCTCCTTACCAGTTATTTTAGATACAGGAGACTGGCTCCAAACTGGGGAGTCTGTGAATAATACTCTGGAAGGGAATGGAAGAATCCCCTTAAGGTGCGTCCAAACTCCTCTGATATGCAAAACTTTACATAATATTTCCAGGCTCTTGCCTTTGGGTTCTGTGTTGCTTATTACTTGTTATGTTGCTAAGTCTTAATTGTTTGCTTTACACCTCCAATTATTCATTCTTTCTGAACATGGTGGTCTCCAGTCATCAGTTTGGTTGAAGTGAAGATGTCTTAAAGTCAGGCTCAAATGTCACCATGTTTGTGCAAACATCCCCTTTAAACATCCCTTTAAAGTGGAAATGAGAATTTCTCTGTCTTTGTGCTTGTATATCCTTTACTTTGTGTTCTGTTTCAAGCTTGCTATCATATATTAGGTTGTTTTCAATTGTGATGCTCCCAGAATGTATAAGGACTCTGCGTTTTCTCACACAGGACTCAGCAATATTATATTCTTAGTAAATAGTTGAAGTTGTGGGATAATCATCCTGCCAAATGGTTTGTGAGGGTCCAAGAAAAATGAAGGTGGAGAAAAAACTACCAAAGTCTTAAGAATGATTTTTTTCAGCAAAATCATGTTTAAATGCCACTTGCAAGCAGTTAAATCCATCTTGTTTTCTCTGTATATTATTGGAGTATAAAACTAGATGTAATGTGAGTTTAAGATCCTCATTACGAAAACATTGCATGGCATGATTAATTCATAAAATCTAACAGGTCTCTTAGGTATTTTTTATTCTCAGTAGGTGATAGCAGTAGTTTTGAGGTGCTTCACTTACAGTACCTGTTGTGACCAGCAGATGCCTGCAAACACCGTAAAATCATTTTGACGAGCTAGTTTTAAAGAACATGCTGCTGCTTTTTGGAACTAATTTATTGCTAGTCTAGTATGATTGTTCGTATTTTATTTTTTGCCTTTTCATCCCAGACAAGGAGAAAGCTGAAAAGATGTTTCACTTAAAAGAAAGGGATTTAATACTTTCCTTCTGGGGTATTAAATCAATGGATTTTTATGTCATTTTAAAATTTGGATAGAAATTTTGTAACAGAAGCAGTTGTAACTATTGTATCATTCTTTTTTGATAAGATCAAAAAATTTTATTTTAATGTGTCTTTGTCTTTTTTCTCTAACCAATTCAGGAGATGTATTCAAAAGGAATAATTCCCCTTTCTGCTATATCTACAGTACGAGTTCAAGGAGACAACAAATTTGAAGTTGTTACAACACAAAGAACTTTTGTGTTTAGAGCAGAAAAAGAAGGTAATATTCTCTCTTTATCCTTATGAAAATACATTAATTTCTGGTCCGATTAATAAACCAGGTAATATATAAATATGAAGAATCTTTTACATAGTTTACATTTTAAAATTTGTTTTTTAAATACATAATGTTTAAACCAAAATAAATTGAGAAGTTATATTAATTACTCTTTTAATAATGAATGTTATCATGGAGCTGCTAAGTGCTAAGTACGCTTTTGAAAAGTTGTATGTCTGTAGCACTGAGGTGAGAAAAAATAGATAAGAATCTCTGCTGTCCTGGAGCTCATTTTAGGCTCTTTTGCTAATCAAGTAGTTATTTAATATGCAAAAGCAATGTTCCTATTAAGTTAATTTTTATGAGAAAATTTCTCTAGGTCAAGCTTTTAGCTGAATGTATGGCACAATCATTCTTTTAGAGCTTTTGAAGCATCTTTTATATTTCTTAAATTCTTTTCACTTTTACCATTAAGGGTCACTTAGTGGTAAAAACTGATCTAAAGATGACATGTTTTCTGGATCACAGCTAAAGGAGTACATAGAAATGTTTTTTGAATTTTGTTTTGTTATGGAAGGAGAAGCTAGGGAAGTTAAAAGTTTTATGTAGTGTATTTTGACTATCATGATACACTATTACATAAATCTCACTAGTTTTAAAAATATAGGTAAGGCCATCTCCTCAAAGAATTGGAATTTAGGGGCTGGGGATTTAGCTCAGCGGCACAGCGCCTGCCTGGCAAGCGCAAGGTCGTGAGTTCGATTCCTGGTACCGGAAAACAAACAACAAAAAAAAAAAGAATTGGAATTTATCCTAATTTTGAGGATCATTTTTATTTTAGCATAGATGTATAATTAAGCTTGATTTTGCAAAAGTATTTCTTGATGCTTTACTGTATTTGAATTCTGATGAGATAGAAAACTTACTGAATAGTTGCTATGTATCAGATTGTCTGCTCCATGCATTTTCACAGCAGTATTATAAGGTAAGCATTGCAGTTTTCCCATTTTACTGAGAAGAGTATTCACCAACATTTGGAAGCTAGTATAGTATTAACTATTATGGGGAAACATTATCTTTATAAAAAAAAACTAGATTTTCCAGAACATACAAGAGCATAATTGGCATGAAGAAAGCATTCAGTAAATACATTACTAGAAAATTCCCATTGTTGCTTTGGATGATCTACAATGAGTATTTTGCAGTGTCCTTCATACCAGAACTAGTCCCCCCATCAGTTTGTAAGATTATTTTGTGATGCCACCAAGAACATAAAATAAGAAGTGCCAAAGTGTGTTTTTGCTTGCAGTAAATACTACATTGTCAAACACCTATGTATATGCTACATGATATTTAAAAGACATATCGAAAGCTAGGACCCTCTAGGCAGGGGTCAACAAACTGCGGCATCTAACCTGCACCTGGCTACTGCCTGCTTTTGCAGGTGAAGTCTTGCTAGTTCACATCCCTCTCATTCATTTATATGCTTTCTTACGGGCATTTGCTTCCCCTGTCCCAGAGCATCTTATTGAGTATTGACTATGTGAGGAGCCATTTTTCTGAATTTCTGAAATTCTGAAAGTCACCCATAATTGATATTTGGTATTTGAGAAGGGATTTGTATTTGAAATTGGTTTTCCTCGTCATGTGTTTCTTATGACACATAGCATTGCTCCTCTGGTTCGTCCAGTGTGACAGTCTTTCTGGTGCTTTGGTTTCCACTGCTCTATTTCTTTGAGGTGCTCCTCTCTTCCCCTTGGCTCTCAAACTGAATCTCACCTATGCCATGTAGTCTCTGCGGTACGGTAGACACACTAAATAAAGCTTCCCACTTGTGAAAGTCTGTTTCTTGCTGCATGAAATTTAAACAGACATATTTTATTTATATAGGATCTTTTAACCCACGCATGTTTTTAAAGTCATATATTTACAGTGGACCAATATAATCCTTCTGTAGCATATAGTTTATTTTTGTGATGAAAATGTAATAGAAGAATTTTATGAACCTTGGTATAAATTTATAATTCGTTAAATAAAATTGCAGGTTTTTAATTTTTGAAACCATGGAAACAGTGCTTAAGTAAAAATGGACTGTATCCCCATGGAATTGCTGAATAAGTTTGATTGGAAGTTATTTTTACATAGTAAGAATTCATCTTTTTAAAAGAGCTGTATGTTCAAGCATGTGTATATATATTTATATATAAGTGGTGTATGTGTGTCTGTATCTTTAGTATGGAGCCTAAATGTGTTCATTAAATGATCTTTCTTCTTCTCACATGTACAAGTGGTAGATTATTTTGTAGGAACTGGGAAATGAAAAATTTTACTTAATGAGCTTTAGGCTTAATTAAAGTTTGCTTCCATCTATGAAGATGCAGAATCAGAGTTTAGCACAGAAAGTGGAGAAGTTTGACATCTTAACAGAGATACATTCTTAATTTTTGGTGAAGAGGTTCTGAAGACCTATATACAACAGCTACCCTTGTCTTCTCTGAAATCAGTGTCACTATTTCTAAACTGTTCATTACCTGCTGGCTTGGCTAAAACAATATTATAATTTGGCATCTTTTCCCTGCGGATTTTCTGAGACTTCTGTTTCTCCAAGTTTCCTAATAAAATATTGTTATTCTTTTAGCTAAAAGTGAAATAATAACATTTAAAAAATTAAATATGCTCTTCTTTAAGTAGAAAATTTAGTCAGATTCCTCTTGTTCTTGAGCAAACCAGTGAAATTGGGGTGAGAGTCACAACAACTAATGATCTCTTCAGTCAGTTTCTCTGCAGCATCTGTGATCACATGTGTAGAGACAGTATGTTTCTGCCCATGTTAGCACAGTCTAGACCCCTGAGAAACAAGCAAGCATGCCGTTCTCCTAACTCTGTTTAAACCACGTCATACAGCCCTCGAGTTTTAGTTTTGATACCGATACTGGAAAGTTGCATGTTTTGTTTTGTCTTTTTTCTTCCCCTGTAAGTACTCTTGGTATAAGGAACGTAAGTTTTTCTTAGTTGTTCTGGGCAAATATTTTTATCCTCTTTTGAGATCTTCAGTGTTTTTAGAAGCAGAACATAACATATTTTCCATTCCTTTTGTTTCTTCATTGCATTATAGATTGTTTGACAACTTTCTATTTTGTAGAATTCTTCATGGCATTCTGAAAGTTTCTGACACATTTTAGGAACTTGCTACGATTTTAACTTTCTTTTAAAATATTGTATTTTAGGGCCTCCAAGTCTTGCTTTGAAAAAGATTGCATGGGTTTAAGTTGGCTGATCTCAAATATGCATCTCCACCTCTGGCCCTGTCCTTTATTCCAGAATCTTATATGTGCATTCAACTCAACATGGATATTAATAGCTTCTCAAATTCCAAATTCCAGGTTCTACTCTTTCCACCAAACCTTCTGTATCTTCATCATCGCCATAAATGGAAGACCCAGATTTTTAGGCAATGAACTGCAATTTCTTTTTTAACTCTTTTCTTTCATGTCTCACCTCCAGTTCATTAGCAAATCCTGTCAGTTTGACCTTGAACATATGTCTGGATATCGACAAACTCTCAACACTTTCATTGCTACCACTCTGCTGCAAGTCACTGCCTCTTTTGGGATTGTGTTTGTCACCTCTCTTGTTCAACTGTGGTCAGATTGTCAGTTCAGTTGTGAGAGCAGGCAGTCAACAAGAAAGTCAGATCATACCTGTTTACTTCCAAGATTGCATTGTCTTACCTGTACTGAGACTAAAGTACTTATATCCCAACACCCTCCGTAATCTGGCTGTGGTCTCTTTGCTGTCTAGCTTTGCCCAAGGCACTTACCTAACAGGAAATTATAATTTGGTTTAGAATATTCTAAGTTATCAGTGTGTATTCCCCCATGTCTGTGGTTGTACAGCCAAAGACAAATGATACTCGCAGTCTGTTGTGTTTGAATCATCTATTCATCATTTTTCTCCTTTGAGGTAATTAGGAATAATCAGAATATTACCATTACTTTTTCTGTTCTTCTTACTCTTTTTCATTGTTTAGTTCCTGTTAGTAACACAGGCCCCCAGAGATAAATAATTCTAGGGAGCCACGTGTTTTGGTGCTGCTATAAGATATATAATCCCCAAAAAGCAGTTGCCACTTTCAAATTAATTCCTGAGAAGTTGAGATATTTGCTAACAGCGACTAAAAGCCTCAAGCACTATGGCTTAGTTCATTAAATTATGATCTACATTTCAGGCTAATTTATGTAGATTTACACAAAAAGAAAGCATTATATACATTTATTTGGTGGGAATATCTTGTGTGAAACTAATGGTCACAAGTTATAACCAAGTTAAATGTTAACTAAAAATGGAAGATGCTATCATAGTACAATCTACCTCTGTGTGTATATAAAATTGTAGAGAAGTTGATGATTACTGTCAGTGTGTTAGCTGTCTGGGTACTTCAGCATGTTTCAGTTTAAGATACAGAACAGCGAAGGGGACGTTTGATAAATATTTCTTCCCAATATGTAGAAATAAGCACCAATTCTTGTGGGTTATGTAACAGCCACAAAACAGCAGTGTTGAATAAGTTTTTAATAAATACTTTGATCACTGACAAAGCCAGTTTTTAGTACTTTTCAAAGTGAACAAGAAGAAAAATAATTTAAAATTAAGACTCCTAAAATAATTTTAGATTCATGTTGGAAGGTGACCGTGTCTAATATGGAGATGTATTTCAGTGTACCACACTGTTGCTCTGGGGAGACCTGTCATAGAAGGACTTGAGAAACTGTCACATTTTCTAAGCATAGGTCCTACATACTCTTTCCATAAAAATTCTTCCTGCATGGATTCAGTATGTTTTATTTTTCTTTTTGCCTTGATAACCCTTTCCTATTTTCCTTGTTTTATTTGGGTGTATTTTTCCTTTGCCCCCCGTTTTTTGTTTTTCTTTCTGGTTTTTTCCTGGTACCAGGAACCGAACTTATGACCTTGTGCTTGTCAGGCAGGCGCTGTGCCGCTGAGCTAAATCCCCAGCCCCCTTCCTTTGCCTTAATAATTCCTTCTCCATTTGTTTTAGTGGCTCATTTTCCCACATCATTGGTACAGTGATACCTCAAGGCATGTCCCATTCTCCCCTTTTCCGTTGAACCCTGGCCTATGCCCACAGGTCTTCCTTTGTTCGCGTGTTGCTGTCATTCTGCACAGATCCTTGTGCACGGCACTGTACACCAGAGATGGTTCTTTTGATTAATTGAATCATCCCACCTTTTTTGTCTGGATTGCTCATAACACTAAGCTACCTTTTATTCTGAGTAATTTATTTTGTAATGAACATCCATCATTGTTGTTAGAACCTTAGCTAGGTAGTTTTCATTCCCCTTGGCATCTATACGCTTAATATGTTCTTTTGTTTGCATTTTCTTTTTACTTTAAGTCTTATTTCTGAACTCTAAACTTGCAGTTTGGCCCACCTGTCATCATCCTAATTATCCTGAACCCATCACTCCCTTGCTAATAATCTTGAAATGTACTTCCTCTGCCTCTGTAATAAGAATGGAATTCCTTAAACAGGCAGTGAAGATTCTGTAAGCACATTTCCCAGTATTTCCTTTGTGAGTTCAAAATTACAAATGTATTTACTTTAAGATGGTTGCTGAACAGATGTTGGTTCCTCTTTCATTTGTTTTTGTGTTGGCCTTGCTCAAAATTCTACTCTGTTCCTCCCTCTCCCAAGCTCTGGTTTTATCTTTTGAATTGCCTGTCATCCTCTTGGTTAAGGACTAAAATTATTTCTTTTACTTCGTGATAACAAAAAAAAGCTGAGTGAGAGTTAAAACAGATTTTAATATTAACTTGCTAAATGACCTTCAGCAAATCACTTAGCTCAACTGAATTGACTCATATATTATTTGATTCCATTTGTATGACATTTATACTATTCTGTGTTCAAATCTAACTTGCCTTACAGCTTTGATTGCTCTCTGGGGAGAAACAGCATTGGTATGCCCCTGACACAGTGTGTTGTATGTAGTTGAAGGTCACTCAGCTTTTGTGAAGGGAGTTGGGAGTACCAAGTTTTAATTTGCCAGTTGAGATGCTTTTATTACTGTTGAGGATGGGAAGGGAGATTGAATATCAAGGCAGGCTTACAGTGAAAGATTTTCTGGGTATTTGAGTGACTAAATTGTCACGTATATACTATTAATTATTGGGTATTAATATTACTTTCTTCTGTTAAAAGAGAAAATCACATGTCATGAGTCACCCATATAAGTGTTTCTCAGACTTCACAAGAACGCAGTTCACCTAGAGTTGATTTTATAATGCAGATTCTGATTTATGAGGTATGCAGTGGGGTCTTAGGCTTGGCATTTCTAATAAACTCCCAGCAGAAGCCAATGGCATGCGTTCTGGAACAGCTGAGTAGTGTTCTTTCCCCTTAAGGAGCAGGGTCGTTGGCTCTGGCTACCACAGCGTTTCGATTGTAGTTGTGAGAGATTATTTGTGAATTACCTGTTTGAAGGAAAACACATTCCTTGTTTGTGTTTCTGTGTCTGTACAACTTCTGTGTAGATTTACGTGCTTTCTTGTGTTTTCAGAGGAGAGGAATGACTGGATCAGCACACTGTTAAGTGCACTGAAGTCACAGTCCCTTACTTCTCAGTCGCAAGCCGCTGTTGCCCCTGAGAAATGTGGGTATCTTGAACTGAGAGGGTACAAAGCCAAAATTTTTACTGTATTAAAGGGAAGCAGTGTGTGGCTTTGCAAGAATGAGCAGGTGAGTCTTACTACATTAATTGTAAATTGCTGGTTTTGATTATAGCAACTGTGTTTTGTTTTGAGTTTTTGGAGTTTTTATTAACAGGGTCTTGTTTTGTATTGAGTTGTCCACTAAATACACCAGAGAAAAGAGTGATTGAATTTTTTGTTTCAGAGAAGTATCTATATCCATTTTGAGACTGGGCATCACCTTTTAAGGTGATGAGGAAAGAGCATTGCTGAACATAACTTGTTTGTTTTGTCTTTTTGAGACAGGGTTTCACTATGCAGTTCAGAATGGCCTTGAACTCACTTTGTAGCCCAGGCTGGTCTCGAATTTGCAATGCTCCTCCTGCCTCAGCCTCCCGAGTGCTGGGATTACAGGTGTGCGCCACCACGCCCGGCCCTGAACATAATTTTTGAAATGTATTTCTTAGTTGAAGTAAAATAAAACTACATGAGAGAATAAATAAGAGCCAATTCACCATTACACTTGTTGATGAAATAGGTCCAGTTCTGCACCTGGTGTGCTGCTTTTATGTTTATAATAGAAAACTTTAGACTTTAGACAGGTAACATAATTTCTTGAGTTTACAAGGTATTATTGATACTTTTTTCTTTTTTTGTAAATATATTGGTTCTGGGAAACATAAATAAGTGGACATATATATATATATATGTATATATCACCAAATATCATAAACTTACCTGTGCACACATCACATATAAATAAATAAAATAGATTTGAATTGTTCAGGTTTTAAATTTGGTTTATATGAAAATACTCAATAGAGAATTTAAATATTTTTGAAGAGAATCATGGTGAAATAACGTGTTAAGTGTTATTTCATTCTCTATACTTCCTTTTCTCTAATGTTTCTGATCTTTAATATGTAAATGAAAATTCTTGCTCTTCTCCTTTTGGGTATACCTTCTTATTTTTTAATCTTTCAGCCTAGGATATGTTAGGTGCTTAGTAATTATTGGTGGCATTCATCAGTGTCCTTGGGATATCTGATCTAAGGGGAGCCCTCATTTTATTATACATTATAGTAAGTTATGGTATGGTGAAGAATAAATGCTATTTTCATAACAAAAAAAGATTCTAATTCTAAACAAGCAGTAGTTAAGAACATTAACAGCACTGTATAGCTCTTTATCTAAGGCATCCTCTGAACTTTGGTGTGAACTTACTCATTAATTTTTTGGGGGTAAGATTTCTTAGCCAGTTAATTGTGGAAGGCTTCATTGAGCACTGTCAGCATACTAATAGCTTGGATAGTTAGCATATTCCTCAAGAAGAATAGTGATGTACAGCTTAATAATGTGTATGAATTGAATATGAAGATTTTCATTCTGTAAAGTTAGGTGATTAAAACTTTTCTTCCTGGAATGGAGGTGAAGAATGCGTAGTTTGCGTGTGTTGGTGTGGAAGTTGCTCTGCCCAGTGGAGGTGTTGTTTTTTACTTGCACAGACTGGATGGACTTCACTTTATTAGTTCCATTGTTCACTTTAGCAAGATTGTCTGAGTTTATCTTATTCTATCAGAGTAACATAGACATTTTCAAAGTTTTAGTAACATTTTTGATTAGGAAAAAACACCTGACATTACTGATTTATAATTAGTAATTAGTTTGAAAAGCATAATAATGATGCCATTTGTTGAGTACAGATAGCACGCTAATTGACTTGTAAATATTCCTTTTTAATCTTCCTTACAAATATAGGAAGTACATAATCTCATCTGTACTTTATAGATGAGAAAAATGAGAATTGAGTAATTTCTACAGGGATTACACCTACTCATGCAGAATTTAACTTAAACCCAGAAATTTATAACTCTAAGCCTGGCTTTCTAACCAGCATACCAAACTGTCATTGTAAAGCTTAAATTGAAAAGAAATTTTCTGTTTTTTAACCATCCAGAAATGGCTCTAGAATTCTTTTTATGAAAAAATTATCTAGAAACTTCAGGACGTGCTTTCAGTACACTCTGTATGTCATGTTGGCCCGCTAAAATTGCTGTGTTTTGAAGAAGGGGACACAAGTCTAACCTTCGGGAAGTAAAGCAAGACAGGCCCAGCGATGGATGAGGAGTACTGTATTAAATTGTGGAGGGGTTACAGAGAGACACAAAAAAAGGAGCATCTAAGAAGTCTAGGAACTCGAAACATTTATTTACACGAGGAATGAATATGTTCTCTTTAAAAATTAAAGTATTAAGGCTGGGCCCCTCCGTATTATTTAAGTCTTTTTCCTAATATTACCCTGCTTATATATGTACCTTTGAGAAGTGGAAACTAGTTTTTAAAGATGCGCTAATTTTGTTTTATTGATGACATCATTTAATATGAGGGTCACATCTTGAAGAATTTCAGGTTAAGTCGTAAAGTCTTACTCACTAGCGGGTTGGAGACCGAGTGGGTAAGTTAAGGAAGGCTGTCCCTGCTCAGGCCACTCCAGTGTCTTCCTTTTTACGCTGTGGTATGTGCCCTGTTCTCCAGAGGAGGGTTGCTCCTTGGCTATCTCACACAGCGAAGCAGGTTATCTAAAGTGGGTGATGGCGTGCTACCTGAGGAAGGAGTCTTTCCCTGAATGCAGAGAACTTTATGCCATTGTGAGCATCAACCAGTGTTTTAGGAAAACGACTAAATGATAGTACAATATTTTGATGCAGCTTCTACAAATTTTATGAGCACATATGCATGTATATTTCAAAGGCGATGGAAAATAAGCTACTCGTCATAAAAATGTAGTATTAAGATTTGAACTTCAGTATCTTAATTTGTTTTGCATCTAATTTAATGCAGCAAAGTTTAATTATCTTTATTACTTTAAAACAGTGAATTTATTACCCACATAACTTAGTAATATGAAGAGAATTAAAAATATAAGGAGATTGACCTATACCACTCCAGTGTAGAAACAAATTAACTTCAGTTTTCTTTCCTTTAATGTATACATATTAATTTACTTTATCACTTCAGAGGAATAGACAGGCAGTGGATGTGGTTGGAAGGGCAACCCATGTAGCATGTGCTGAAGAGTCGTGAGAGAGGTAGCTCATTTACCCCAAGAGGGTGGTACTGGGAGAATGCAGTTACGGGTTTTTGTTTTTGGTCCATTACTAATTGGCTCAGGTAGTTAAATTCATTTTCTAAAATGGCATGATATAAAGAAGGGAAGTGGGGTATTATTCTTAGGCCATTACTTGCATCACATGTTGAAATTTCAGATTTGTAGGTCTAGTTTAGACCATTTGATTCAGAATATTGGAGAAAAGGATGGTGGAATTTGGATTCATAAATAAATACCCAGGTGATTCAATGATAGGGAATTCCAAAACCACCCATGTGAGACTCTGTTCTAATTGGTTTTCTCTTTCCAAAATGATGGACATCCAACTAAGGGAACAAGATGTTTTTTGAGTTGGAAAATACATAAAAATAGCCTTCAGCAACATTAGTATCAGTATTTCTCTCCTTTATATTTTGGGATTGCTATAACTCTTTTTTGGGAATTAACCTCAATTTAGAAATATCTATTTTTCCTGATGAAATATTTTGAAACATTTAGGTACAGAAGAATGTTTATGTAGAAGATTAAGAGAGTCATTATTAATGGTAATACATTTTGAATTTTGAAGATGTGTGTAGTTTCAAATACATATATAGTTACTGCTTTTCTGCTAAAAAAATCTCATTATTCTTGTATAAGATTTTCATTTTTCAGCCCATAAATCCTCCCTTAACAATTTAATTTCTTTTTCTTAATATAGATGCTTGTTATAAAAGTAAGCCTTATTTGAGAGAGTTTTTAAACTCCACTGGCAAGTCCTCAGTAAAGAAAAGTGTTTGAAATCAAATAGAGATATTGTTCGTTATTTCCCATACATTCCTTTACCTCAGTGTGTGTGTCTAGAAGTTCATGTTTGAGGATTATTTAGCTCTCCTAGAGCTTCTTACCTTTCCCAATAAGTGCCCTTAGTGTCTCGAGCACCCCTGCAAATATATTTTGAGTAATTATTTTCCCTCTTCTTGAATTTGTCTCTTACTCTGAATCAAGAATGTGCATTTTCTCAGTTAAAATAAGCACTAAGACATCATTGTAGTCAGTGCTTTTATGTGTTTTGAAATCTCTCTTTTTAAAGCAAAATGGCATGAGGATACTAGGGAGTTGGCCTGTCTGTGTGTTCTCATTGATGGTTCACTGGCTGTTCTTAACTCTGAATAGTACATGTCAACATGGATTTAGCATGGACGTTTGGTTTTCCTAGTTTCCCAGTTCAAAAATTCACCTGTATATTCCTGTTCCACCAAATAAAAGTTATACAAACACAGTCAATTTCTTACCAAAAAAAAGTTATATATTCCTGTTCATACATTAGACCTTGAAAGGACTAAAGCCTGAAGTAGCTTTTGGGCTGCATAGAGGAAATATGTTATGTATGTTTTATTGGCTATTGCCTTAGGTATTTTTTTTTCTTTTTCCATATAGGCTTTAAGGAGAAGTAGAATACAGCTATAAAGAGATGACTAAAAACGTATCATAGAGGAAAGTGGCATAATCAAAACTGAAGTAAAATTCTTTACTTCATTACCTCTTGGAAAACATTGTGTTGCCTTTATTCACATAAATTGTCATTCCTTATATATTAGCACCATCTGTCAGCCCCACGCCATTTTAATCTTATAACACTTTCTTCTTTTTATCTCTTCTTATATTTTATATACTTGAAATGTGTTATGATTTTTTGCATGTTACTCAGCTCTGTATAAAATGAGTGGTATAATTGAGTTTGTATAAGTCACACTACAGTCACCACATTTCCTTAGCATACTTAGCAAGTACTAAGCAGAGACCTCCTCCTTCCTAGGTGCTATTGTGGGAGCTAGGAGCAAATGTTTCACTTTCTGATAGGAGTGATGGAGTGGTAAACATGAGATTTCTGGTAGTCTTGCATGTAACCCTGTCTTCTATTTTGAATTTTCTTTTTTGACAAGATTTGCCGTGGTCCT